ACTTCTTTGTCTAGAAGACATACAAATTCTTATTATTCTCTTTAACAGTCAACATCCTTGTTTTTGTACCAGTTTCATATCCTGGCTCATTATATTCTTATCTGACTCAAGAATCTCAAGAGGCTCAGGAGTCTTTCAGGGTTGTTTCAACACTTCGCTCTCCACAACTCCCCCTTTTTTATTTATTAGACGACCGTGCCTGTCTTAGGTGAGAGCTCAGGACAAAATCCCACCTTACCCTTCATTGGGAAGAGAACCTTCCCTGCCTTAGGTTGGTAAGAGATTCTCCTGGTCTCAAACCCGTTATTGACTAACCCGTCTCTTACTTAGGGGTGATCAATTTTTGATGATGTAATCGAACAGCCAATGTTAAGAACATGGATCGAACATACTGGCTGAATATGACGAAAAAAAAGAAACATAAACAGAAGTCCGCCTGCCAGTAGCCCAAGGCCTGTCACTATCTGTTTGGCAAAAAATGAGGAAGGCACCAATGTTTTCAAATGATCATAAAGGGATTGTGCCACCTTGTTCTTCCTGTTTGTTGAATGCTCAATATCTGCTGATGGAGCTTTCATAGGTCAGAGGTTTCATTGACATGCGACCATGCCCCTTTTAGATGGTCCTGGACCATCTGCCAGTTATAATCTGTCATATTATAAGCTAGTGAAGAGACACAGATCCAACAATATTCTGCATGGCACTGTAAACGGTTTCTATGTTTGAGAGCCTCAAGGGAGGGTCCCAAATATATTACCGTGTCAAAAAGAGCATTCAACTTCTCTTCCATTTTTATATCAATGTCTTCTTGCAACTCTAAGGCTTGTGACACATTCATTGAAAGATTATCTACAAAAGCTCCTGTTTGCACAGACTGAGATAAAGCAACCGCCGCGGCAGTAGATAAGCTAATCAAAAATGCTATAAAGGTAACAATTCCAGCTACAATCATGCCGGCCACCCTTTTTTCTCTTTTTAATAAACCATTTAGACTTTCCAATATTTGAAGTCCTTTTTCTGCATACTATGGTTCTGAAAGATTAAATGGCAACATTACAAAAGAGGGCTGATGAATTATGAAAACATTTTGATACCCGAATTTCACACAATTTGACATTGTACAATTATCACATGTTACATTAAATTGACGAGTTCCATTTTCATAATCAATCTCAAAACCTCCCAATAACAGTAAGTAGGGCTGGGGCACACAAGCCGTGATGTTTCCCTCCAACCCGGAGTCTGGCCCCACACCAATCCTTTTTATTCCCCCCGTGGCAACCATAAGTTTCCATATCATGGGCTGAAAAGGGCCGGAAGGCATTCGCCAAAGTCCCCCACCTTTATAAATTTTTACCATAAATCTATAATTATCATTCCTCTGGGGGCATCATCTCAGTCCTGGACCCTGCCATGGATTTGTTGGTTGTCACTGGTGAGGTGGGTCCCTGAGGTGCAGCTGGCTCATTGCTTTCAGCCAGGGTGCTATCACTCATTCTGTGAGATGTTGGCGATTCCACCAGCGTGACCCACAGTCTCACATTCCGGGAGGGCAGCCACAAGATTTTCTCATTATCTGTTAGAGCACAAGCAAAACCTCTCCCCCACGTTATTAAGACAGGAGGAATTTTTTGACATATGGCCTTTTGTAATCTTAAAAACAAGTTTAATAATTTAGGTTCTAAGGTAGAGCAGGCCATAGCTCCTTAGCCTTTGAGTCACCCAAACTGTGAAAGAGGAGTAGTGAACTCAACTATTATAATTTTACCTGGATATAAGCATTTTGGAATAAAAATATAGTTAAACTGTTATTATTGTCAATGATAGTTGTTCTTGTGGTTGAATCCCTGAGTAGCTTTTTATAGGAAGTCATCTAAGGAAAATATATCAGCATACAAGTGTGCCTATTTTCATAGGTGGCTGGAGCATAAGAGAAGGGCAAATACCTGAATCAAAAAGTTATCACCATAAACAATGTCAGAAGACCCATACAAGCAGAGGGCATGAATACATTTTGTACACCAGAAAAGGAGCAGTAATAAATATCACAGTTACATAAAACCTTATGTTCTTCACTGTAGTTTGGTACTAAAACCATCTTTCTAATAACACTCTCTTTTTTATGACACAGAAATTAAGCTTTTGAAGATGACCAATGTGGACATATTACAATAACATATTCAGAACTTAACCAATGTAAACATTTTACAATCACATATTTAGCGCTTAAACATCAATGATAACCCATGTAATCAATTTATAACATTTAGAATTTAAACTTCAATGATAACCAATGTAATCAATTTATAATAACATTTAGAATTTAAACTTCAATGATAACCAATGTAATCAATTTATAATAACATATTGAGACAATATTTGTTGTGGTGTGTCTCCCATAAGATTATAAAAATTACTAGGGGGTCCCTTTAGTGAATTAAGACCAGAATAATTATTTTCTGGGTGGCCACTTCTTTATTCACCAAAGGGAGTACCCACAGTCTCTATCTATTTTGACAAAGAATAAGAATATATATATCTTCTTATTTTACAACTGCTTATTGCAATTTGATTATTGCATGTAGGTGACAATACACATTACTTTTATAAAATAAATCTCGGTGGCACTTTGATCAATTAGCAACCTGGGAAGGAAGGCATACCTTTAATTTGATAACATTTATCTGTAAGCCAATTTAATAATAGGTGAATATCTTTTAAGAAAAAAAATTTTTTCAAAAGGTGAAAAGGAAAAGAGAAGAAAAAAAAATTGAGCTCAACTGTACAAACAGACAAACAACAGACAACAGACAAACATATAAGACAATTTAAAAATTATGCTGGGCCGAAGTGGTCGTTCCTTCAGCAGTGCTTGTTCCTTTTGTTTCCATTTCCAATTAAACCATAACATATCCAAAGGATTTGAGGGATGTGTATTTTCAGATTTATCCTTTTTATTTTTCACTTTCATTTTTTTGGTAAGAGCTATCAGAGAGAAGGGAGGCCATTCCTCATTATTATACTTAGCTGCCTCCTCCTCCAGATCCACGGCATCAGAGGGGTCGAGGGGTTCATCTAAACCTTCCACAAGGGGGGGGGGTGCTGAAGAAGGGCACTCAGTTTTTTTATCTATGCACGAAATGTCCTCCGGACTAGAGGCAACCGCGTCTCTTTGTGAGTTACCCACTGAAGTCCCCTGACAAGGATCCAAGCTCTCCTTGATAAAACCCCAAAGGCTAAACACATCAACAGGAAATTTGGAAGGCCCTTCCTGATCATAGTAATCTTGTAACTGTTTTCCTACTTTATTCCAAAGTTCCAAATCAATTGATCCCTCTTCGGGGAACCATGAACAGACTTTCTCTACAAATTCCAAAAAGTGACACAGTTGCTGTTGCCCAACCTTAGCTCCCCGATTACAGAGCATCTTTTTTAATATCTGAGCGAAGAGCATCCAACTGCTATTAGTCCCCATATCTTATATCGCCACTCCGTACTTACTTGTCAGAGCTCACAATCCAGCGGCGTCTTTCACCTTGTCCTCAGTTCTCAGGTCCCTGTTCGGGTGCCACTTGTGATGGAACCAGCCGTCACTAGACGAACAGTACCCGAGGCGAGGGGTGAGGATTAAGAAAAGAAAAACACCAATTCGAGAGAAAAGAAAAAGGAGAGGAGAGGAGAGCCTTCTCCCTTCCCACTTTATTGAGCCTTTTATATATCCCTCTTCCTCTCCCACAGCCTCCCTCCCTTCCTCCCCTCATGACCTGGTGACTCATTGTTTTTACAGAGAAAAGGTCAAGTATATCTTTACAATTCCGGGAATGTTACGTCTTTGTCTAGCAGACATACACATTCTTATTATTCTCTTTAACAGTCAACATCCTTGTTTTTGTACCAGTTTCATATCCTGGCTCATTATATTCTTATCTGACTCAAGAATCTCAGGAGGCTCAGGAGTCTTTCAGGGTTGTTTCAACCCTTCACTCTCCACATGATAAAATGTTCTTTAAAAGATTTATTCTGCCATATTATTATTGACATTGGTAAGAAGTATTTTGGAATTTTTAATTGCTCAGTTTGAGTAGGAATTGTTTAATAATATTGTTGAATAGACACATTTTGAATTTGCCAATTTAAGTAATTTCTTTGAGGTTATTTTATACTTTAACTTTTATTTTTATAATATCCTCATTTCTACTATGATATATTTACTGATTTATCTAATTATTGTATCATATCATTTTAGCCCTTTATTTATTTATTTTATTATATTTTTTTTGTTACTGGGGATTGAACTCGGGTCCTCAGCTTGTGAGGCAGGTGCCAGAACCACTGAGCTAAATCCCTGGCAAGCCCTTTTTTAAAATTCTGTGGCCTTGTAAAAAATTATGTCCCTTATAAGCAGTACATGGGAAAATTTTATTTATTCTTGATCCTGTCCTAAAGCTCTAATCTCTTGAAGTGTACATTAAATGTATTTACTGATTTTTTGGGATTATGTTTAAATTTTTGCCACTTTTTTCCATTTAACCCATATATTACATTCCTTTGGGGTTCTTTCTTTTTTCTTTATTTTACTGTAATATATATTGAGGTATATTTTTTATTATCATCCTACTTGACATTTTTAGAACTTTTGGATGCTGTAAATTAACATTTTTAATTAGTCTTAGAAAATTTTTAACTGTTAGTATTTTGAATATTGCTTTTTCTCTCATTTATTTCTATTATTAAGAAATTCCAATTGTTTTATGACATTCACAATTTCCTATGTGTTTTGTATACTAGTCTGTGTGTTTCATGTTCTTAATTGGTTATATTTATGCTTTATTTTTGCTATTGACCTTTGTGGGTTTGAGTACTTTGAGATATGAAATGTGCGAGACATTGATTATATTACCAAGGAATAAATGTTCCTTAATGGCTACAGAGAGTAAAATACTAACTTACAGTACAAAGTGGTAAATCCTGACTTGGGGTTAAGCACAAAGCTGGTTCATTTGAAAAGGGGAAGCATTTGTGGCGGTAAGAAAGAAGAGAAAGATTAATCTGAAGCAATGGAGGGTCCTTCATAAAGACAGGGGCTTGGATGTGGAAACAGAATTATAATATATAGGGGTGGGCAATGGTGGAAAACTAGGCAAAAGGGAGTGGTAAATTAAATTCAAACATATATCCTTTCTTGTTTGTATTTTCTGGGTATAGGAACAGACTAAGTCACCTGGGACACAGGTTTTCTGGTAGAAGGGACTACAGATTGTAAAGAGAGTGTTGTATAGAAAGGTGCAAAGGTGGCCAAGATAATTATATTCAAGACTGCAGGTAAATCAGACTTTGCATCCCTACTCCCTGAAATGGTGTGTTTTTTCTCTTATAGATAATACTGCTCGGACTAATCTGAGTGTATTGTGCAGAATCTACAAAAGATCTGATTCTCACAGTATCTCATCTGAACTCAGCAGCCAAGTTCTAAGAGCCAAGATTGTGGTCATGAGTGGACCATAAATGTAGGAAGATATATCAGGCAGATCTTAGTATAAAACCAATGTTACCGGGCATCCTATTTAGACAGGTAATATTTCCTTCTGCTCCTGCTTGAATAAAAGGCTTCCAGAGTATAAATTAAGAAAAAATGAAAGAAGAAGACAGAAGGATAATATTTTTGTCATTCGCTACTATCTATTTCAGCTCTATATTTGTGTCTAACAGGTGTTTAAAGGTCTAGTTATTCTCTTTTTCTCATAGTTACCACTGCAAATGGATGCAGATCTTTTTGGAGAAATAATTAAATGAATATTTATGATATGTAATTCTGATGGTACATAGTCTTTGTTTAAAACAAACTTGTCCTTCTAGTAAACAGATCCAAGTTTATGAACCAACAGTGTAAGAATATTGAGGGGCTATAATTTCCCTTTGTCCTTTATACAGACACTTGCCAACTGTCAGTTTTCTGTGTACACAAAGCTGGCTGACCAGCTATCTTTCTCCTTCGGACATCGCTGCCTTAGATCTTTGGTGTCAAGTCTCTTGTGCCATATTTACCTTGTGGTTGACAGGTTAACATTGTCATTTGTCCTGTGGTTTTCTGGAATTCTATCACAATCACTTATTTCAGGAGTTTATTCTAAAAATCACATTCCATACACTGGCTAACAGAGTACAGCCATTCCTGACATAGAGAAGATGCTGCCCTTACCATCATACCCTTGAGTTTCCCAATGAAGGGACTGAGCTTGGCCATCCCAAAGAATGCAGTCAGAAGGTCAGTTATTGCATGTAGCTTAATAAATGAATTTTGTTATTTCTACTTCTCCTAGACTTCTGACTCATATTTCAATATTTTACCAGAGTGGTTCTGGCAGCTGTACTTCAATTATTGTGAATCACAGTTGAGGGGATGAGTTCAAGCAGCTACCTCAGTAAGAGCTTAGAACCAGCTTTGGGGTTCCTTGCCAAAACATCCCAAGTCCTGGGTGAAGGTTTAAATAAACTTTTCCTTATCCATTCTCCCATGATTTAAAACTTCAATATATCTATCCACACATAGTCACTGATTTCTTGCCAGGACTTATTATCAGCTTCTCCACATGATTCACAGGCTCTCACTGAGCAGGGTTTGTACTTTCCTTCTAGGGTGAGTGATCATCTGACTTTCCTCCTTAGTCTAGCGGTGATGATGGATAACTGCAGTTGGCTATGAGGGGAGAATGTTTTCCCCAAAGAGATGTCAGTTTCCCCATATCATGAAGTAAAGTGTTCATTTTATTATGTAAGAAGTTCCAGAGAATTGGGATCTGGAGTATTGGGAGTCTTAGTTTATCCACAAAATAGCCCCACTCTAGGTACAAAGATCCTGCCCTTTCCTATCAAACCTCTGCTTTGATATAGGAGATACATTAGGGTGCATGTTTTGTCTCCTTTACAGTTCTGTTGTATTTAAACAAGAGCTTGGACTTGATTTTGTGCTTCAGTTTTCTCTGAAGCTGCAGGAGATAAGGAACTGCTTTAAGGCTGCAATCAAAGGGCTCTGACTTTCCAGGCTTTGCTTAAATTGGCAAATAATTCTCCTAAACCTGCTGCTTTCTTTTTACAAGATTTCCACGCAAGAAGAAAGAGCAGGTTGATGGCTATATTTCCCTTCCTCATGATTATGGAGTGTAGGCTCCTCATAGCACAGCAACTCACCTTTCTCTTGATTTCATCCCTAGTGAACCACAGGCAAAGGCTTCAGCTTTTTCTTCTCATGGATGATGAGAAGAACTCAAGTTGGAGATAGATTTCAAACTACAATATAATGACAGCTTGTCTATGAGTGAATGAACATCTAACTTATTAACTGTATCTGTATTTGTTTGTATGTTTATTAAGCACATATATGTAAAAGTAGGTGTATGTATTTATCAATTGTATATCGAATTCATGTAAAGATATAAAGATACATAGAGCTTAGGCAGTTATTGAGTATTGCATCAGTTGCATTACAAAAATAATTTTAACATTTTAGACAGTATTTCATTAAAATGTCTAGTAAGCTCCCATCTGTTCCACGTTATTGCAAGGGATTCCAAGCTTTTGACTGGTCACTATTTTTTGGAATATAGTCCTATAATAACTTGGCTCAAGTTGTAAGAAGAGAGAGCAGGGGAAAATTAAACTAGGCCAACATTTAATGAATGATCAGGTTGCTTGCTTCATACTCAATATTTTCAGAAAAATGTTTTAAAATAGCAACATCAGGGAAAAGATGAATACAATTTTCTGAATGTCTTTTTTGTGTCAGCTGCACTGGCCAAAGATTTCCCTGGTTTCCATAATAGATGTTCATGAGAACCCTGAGAAATACTGTGAGAATTTTCAGTTAATCTTGAAAATCATCAAGCTGAGAGAGTAAATCCCTTGCCTGGCCTGGAGTACCCAGAAGGAAGAAGTCAGGGCCTAATTGACTTGGGACACAACTTGGCTCCCTTTTGATTGAAGACAAACTTCAGAGGAAGAAGTCTTTAGGGCAACTTATTTTTAGAACACTTTGGCTTAAGATAGCAAAGTGTGAAATTTCTTTTCTGAAAGAATTATTAGACAGACATATTTTTATTAATATCTTGATTGAATTAATTATAATTTTCCTTCCTGCTGAATTTGATATGTTTAAGTAATTGTGGTAATGTTATGTGTCAAGTTGACAAGGCCACAGTACCTAGATATTTTGTGAAATATCAGTGTAGATGTTGCTGTACAGCAAATTTTTAAAAATGAGATTGACAATTAAATTAGTCTCAGAGTAGACCAGAACACCCTTCATCATGTGGGTAGAATTCATACAATAGGACTTAGCAAACAGAGGGCTCCCAAGGTAAAATAGACCTGGCCCCAGGATACCTTCCAATTTGAGCTTCAGCTTCAACAGTTCCCTATATCTCTAGGCTGTCCAACTATCTCTGCAGTATTTATCCAGATCCTGCAATTCCATGAATTAATTCCTTAAAGCTACCCCCCCTCCCGCATTCACTACATAACATGCAAGTGCCCCTTATTGCTTTCGATAGTATGAGAGGAATTAGGGTATTAGTAAGGTCCAAATTCATTTCTATTAGACTGCAGGAGAGATGGTGGAAAATCAAAGAAAATAATAGGAAATATGGAAGAAACAGGGAGAGAGGAGAAAGGGATGAAAAAAATTAA